ACATAATGAATGAACAGAACAGAACAGAGTTTTTCCTTATTGTCATGTCCTTTACTGATAAAGGGTTAATTATCTACTGGGTTTTAATTTTTCTTATTTTGCTGACTGGAAAATGCGCTTAATTAAAACCCAGTGAATATGTAAAATTTAGCATTGAACACATTATCTAAATGATAAAACCGGGAATTTAAAACCCACTGAATATGCCTGAAATGGAAAATCAGTGAAATTTAAAGCCAGTGAAAATTAGTCATTTTACAGTACATTATTTTTATGGAATGTAAAATGTACACAAATACACTTGAAAGAAACTATTACCATCAAACAATCATTCAATTAATTTGCATGTTTCATAAAAAATGCATACTATGTATCTGAGAAATATATGAACTTTATTTATTTAAATTTTTAAAACTTTTACACCAGAAGACCATCACATTTAACATTCAAATCAGAAGACGTTTCATTGGCTAGAGAAGACCTTTGCCCCATTATCCAGTCTCTGTGCTTTTCCTGCAATCATGGCTGATTTATACGGAACACAGATCCCATGAAATTTCTTCAAATGCTCCAAATTGATATATATTTGGAATAGTGAAAGTGGAGTCATCACTACAATTTGACACAAAGCTGAGCAGAGAAATTGTTGTAATGAGTCAAAGGCCATACTGAGCATTGTGGTCTTCTATATGGGCATATGGATAGTATTCATGCACTAAGGCATTTACAAGTAGTATTTATTGAAATTTATAAAAAAAGTATAATAAATATTTTAAATAAAAAAACGACTTTCTAAAATGTAGTGTATTCAATTGGAGATCAAAACATCCCTTCAGTAAATCGTTTTATTTCTTTCATTACATTTTCTGCTAAAATAGAAATGTCATTAAACCAAATAAAAAGAAATTTGGTGTTTTTGGTAATAGGCTATTAAGGTAGAGATGCAGTTTATTTGTGAATTTCAATCAAAAATAGTTTTTTTCGTTTTTTATATAGATTTTTATCTAAAGAACATTCTGTGAAAATTTGACCAATGAATTCTTATTGGAACACCCTTAAAATTGCTGGTTATTTTCTGATTAAAAATAAAAAACACTCACGTGTGGCAATGTTTATGTCCAATTGCCTAATTTGCATGAGTAATCAAATAACAGGACCTTTGATTGACAATATGCAAATCGAGATTGTACGGGTCATAGTTCATTCAATTCACGCACATGTGCAATTATTCTCAAATCAGTTATCGCTTGCTAGCAAAACAAACATTACATTTCCTCAGCGTTTTTTTTTTCCTAATTTTTATCATTACATTATGCGTGGTGTGAAAAGAAAGAGAGGTAGAAAAAAAAGATTCAGATGATTTCTATGTCGGAAGAGGCAAAAGCTAC